TGTTTTATTACATTCAATGCTGTTTTTTTGGGGGGGATTTCCAACTTCACGTTTTTCATCCTCAGCAGTGCGTGCAGATGCGTTTGTTTCTCATGATTAGGATGTCGCTGCCTTGATGGCGCCAGTCTCTTTCGATTTTGAGTATGCCTTAGTCTTTTGGTTATTGTTTGGGGCTTCTGCTTCCACATGCAAACAACCATTTGATTTCCCTGGGGATTGGCATGGCTTTTGCCATTACCCAAATGCTTGTGTGGTGTGATGTGTTTCATATTTTAGGTGTTCTTGGGTAATGCTTCCTTTGCACTGCTTATGGCTTGCCTGTTTGTTCCAATCCTGCCCCATGGTGTAGGTGTAGGTGTGTGACAGCTCCATGAGGGGTTTGCATTTTGCTCTGAAGCATATGCCACAGAGGATCAAAGGCCATAGAGGATCACATCCTGCAGAGAATGGCTCACCTTTGGCTGGCCACTGTTTTCTTTATCCGAGCTGTGATTGAACTGCTTTCTGATCAGCTCTGGGGTGGCCTGGACACCTTAGCTTTGGTGTTAGGGGTTACAGCCTTACTGCTTGTGGTTGGGGCTTCAGAGGTAGTGCCCAAGTTTCTCCCTATTTTCCTTCAAGCAATGACTGCAGAATACTTTTTGGCTCAGTTGACCTGCCGGTGAACTTTGTTAGCCTGTGCTTTAGATTCTGCAAGGTCACTTTCCCTGTCCACTACATCTTTCTCTCCTCCTATTTCTTGAGGCAGCTGTTTCTTCTGTTATCTCAGGTGCTGCTGTTGCATTCCAGGCTCTCGATTGTCTTCTTTTGCAGTAGAGTTGTGTTCCTGCTACTTGGGGATGGTCTTTGTTCAGAGTAGGTGTTCTGAGGTTCCAGATTCTTGAGCCATAGCCTTTCTTCTGGTGTTTGCTCCTTCGTTTCGGCACCAGTCTTGTGCATCGTAGTGAGTGGTGTCTGTGGGATTTCATGCTGGCCTTTTTTAGTTTGTATCTTTGACTGTGATGTGGAAGGAAGCTTGGCCTATTTTGCCAGTTCTTGGACCCATGAAAGAAATCACATGTGAGAATGCCATAGAGGAAAAACAAGAGATCATTCGTAAGCATGAAAATGATACTCATGTTGTCGAACTTGCTAGGCAGTATAACAAATCTTCAAGGGAGGAAGAGGAGGCAGTAGAGAATGTCCCTTCCTCATTAATTAAGAAAATGTGTGCAGTATGGGCAGGACTGCAAAGTTTTGCTAAAAAGAATCACCCAGATAAAGCTGTAGTAGGCCACTGCATTGATCTTTTTAATGACAATGTGATGCCTCACTACAGACAAGTGTTGTAAAGAAGGGAAAAACAATCTTCAATGGAACGTTTCCTTGTGAGAAAAGTGAGAAAATCAAGCAGTGAGCCACAACCAGAACCTAGTGGTATGCAGGCAAAACTTGCCAAAGTGCACTCCAGAGAAATCTTCACTGCCTGATGTTATAATGGAAGGGGACTCCCCTTCCAAAAAGTAACACCTCTCCTCCTCTCCCCTCCTCACGATCTTCCATACGCCAACAGGAGTCATCAGCAAGGGTAAGTAATAACTTGAACATACTTTTGTAGTAAAGATTTGGGTGAATTAGGTATAAAATTTACTTTGAAGTGAAGTTTTTGGGGGAGTCAGGAACGGATTAATTCATTTCCCATTATTTCTTATGGGAAAATTCGCTTCAGTTTACGAATTTTCGGGTTACGAACTGTCTCAAGGAACGGATTAGTTTCTTAAACTGAGGTACCCCTGTATATACAAATGAGATTGGGGGGGATATAAATAGGAGGTGCCTCGTATGGGCCAATAGGCCTTCTGCTGTTACCTTTATTCTTATGTTCATGTCTCTCCCTCTGGCAGTGGTGCTGCGGCTGTAGTCCTGCCTTCAGCTGTTTCTGGGCGAGTCCCAGGCCACTCAGCAGTTGCTTGATTGCTCAAGTAGTTGTGTGGGAGTCTGAACTTCTCTGTGCTGGTTTACCCATTGGGTCGGGTTATGGTTCTTTCGAGGACGCTCCTGTTTCGTGATTGCTGGGTTCAGCCTCCATGGCCTTTTTGTCGATTGCTGCATTGCTGTTTTCTTCTTCGTTTTGTTCGGGGTTCAGTGACTTGGCACCTACCCGAGCCCCTCACTCAATGTGTTCACGGACGTGTCATCTCTAGCTGAGGCTTTGTGGCCAGTGCTCACCAAGCCGGCCAGGGTTGGTGTTGTCCGTCCTTCCGTCGGGCTCACAGCATGGTGCGGGAGTTTGCGGCCATTTGGCTGTCGCTCTAAAGGGTTCGGGTCACTCAGGGCTCAATGATCCTGCTTTTTTCGGACTGCTCTCGGGTGGTTCATTGCCTGAACTGCGGGGTTCTTTTTGGTCCTTGGCTATTTGGGGCTGATCACTTCGAGTGGCCCGTCTGCTGGTTTCTCGGGGTTTAGCTCTCTGTGCAGTTCATATCCGTGGGGTGTCCATCGTCCTGGCGGACAGCCTGTCCCAGTTCATTCCCCCTATCCACGGAATGGATGTTGGACACCCACTCCTTCAGTTGGCTCTGCCAGACGTACGGGCTTTTGGAAGTGAACCTCTTCATGTCTGTATGGTTTCAGCGTCTCTCGATATATGATGCCTGGGGTGCATCATGTGTTGTGACTGGTTGTGGCTCTTCGCTGTTATCTGCGTGCTTCAGCTTTGGAAGCTGGGGATGTGCTTTGGATTGACCCGGTTTTCCTTATTCTCTATTCCAGGGTTTGGGTCTCCCAGGTCGTCCGCAGGGTTATTAAATTTAGCTAGCCTATACGGTCTGTCCTCATGCCCATGACGTTCATAAGTTTGCTGCTTTGGCTAACGTGTTTGGCAACATATCTTGGTCTGACATTCGGGCGCGAGGGCGTTTTGGAGGTTGAACAGGTTCCTGGCCGCCCGTTATTTGGCAAATATTCCTGATCCTGGGCATTCATGTGTAGCTTTGGGTCACAGGCTGCAGCCAGTTGTCTCGACTTTGTTACGGCCACAATAGGACGCAACCGGGTTCTTTTCAGGTGGTACGAAAGTTCATATATCTGGCCCCAAGTTAGTAGAGGCTTTCAAGAGGTGAGCTCAGTAATGCAAGTAAAATAAAAAGGGGAGGTACATTAAATACACAAGTTCATCACTTTAACCATATATAATTAGTCTTTCCGTCACCATATATATATATAAAAGTCTTAAATGGAAAATATTACTACACTATGTACATCATTGTCTCTCTCTGAAGACACTGAACACTCGGCGAAGCTTACTCCATGCAGTCTTTTACCGGGTTTTCTTATCCGTGGCACTACCCTCAGCAGGTGCCAGGAAACAACGATGAGTCTACCCTGGCCACTGGCCAGCCAAGTCACAATTCTACTAGGTGCCTTGTCGTGAAGGCCCACAACCACAGTCCAGCCGGTTGCTGGCAGGTACCAATCAGCCTCACGCTGTTAGGCCACTTCATGAGCGAATACTAGGGTTGCAAGCCCTAGGCAGGAGCCTCGTGTAACTCGCTGGTTACTCTCCTCTTTCGGCACCACAGTCGGCTGTCTCTTCCACCAGCCAGCCCCGAGTACGGTGAATCCCGTCACTGCCACTCCTCAGGCAGACAGTTAAACACACTACAGTTCTCGTCCTGCGGCGGCTCACTGCTTCTGTGAAGCAGACTGGTGTAGAGACCTTGGCTGCTTTGGGTAGACTGACTCTTCATACATCACAGCAGCCCTACGTTGACTCTGTGAATACAGACACGTCATCAGTACACTGGGACATTACCTGGGACCACTAGGAAACATCACTTACTTGCTTAGCCACAAACGTACACCTTTTTGCTCCTTAGATGGCGCTCATTGTCTAAGCGCCACCTCACCAGAGGTCAGCACCGGCTACCTCTCGAGCCGACTAGGACAGGAATCCAGCACCTATTGCCAGTATATTCCCGTCATCACTAGATGGCGTTGTCCATGTTGTGGGGGTTTTCGGGAGCAGACTCACAGATGGCGTTGACGTCACTGCTCCGTGTTCCGACGGTGGACTTGGGTTCGTAACAGTTGAGAAGCACATGACGGCCGCCTCCTGGAGTAAGTGCCTCCTTTACTTATCTTGGGTTATGTAGCTTCGGGGGGTTCCCACAGAAAACCAGCAATAAATGTAATGAAATGCCATTTTCTGGGTGAGCCCCGGAGGTTCCCTGGAACCCTCCCTCCTAGTGGCGATTTCGTTTTGCTTTTGATGCTCAGCCTCCGAACTGGTATGTGAGAGTAGCCGGCATGGGGGTTCCGGGGCTCCCCCCTCCCCCTTCCAGGGAGGGGAGGGCTGTGTGGACAAGTGCCACAGTGGCGGTAGTGTGACGTTTGTTTGTTTGCTTGTCTCCTTGAGAGTTGGGGGAGTTCTGCCTCCCTGTTCAATCTTTGGTTGCAATTTTCTTACCAATTAGGGTTTGTTATGCCTACCTTTCTGGGAACCTAACCTCGGTCGATGGCAGACAAAGAATACCCCCAACCACATGGGGGGGGGGGGTTCCAGAGGCCATTGTTCCCTGTGCTTCTTTGAGGGGGCCAGGTTCTGGTTCATGGTCCCCGGTAGGCTGAATGCCATTGACTACTGCCCCAGACTAATACATAGAATATTAGTCCGATAGCTCCAGGAGAGCCTCCGGGGCTCACCCAGAAACATTCATTCATTACATTCAATGCAGTTTTTTTTTTTTAATTTTGATGAATTTAGAATTCCAGGAGTCTGTGCAGAGTGGATGGACATGCTGTCTAAGGCTACTTCGAAGTTGAGTGGGGTTAAAGTACCGGGTAATTAATTTTCACCTAGGTTATTGTGGCTCATTCTCTGCATCATTCTAGTGAAATTGTAACTTCTCTCAAGAATTTCAGCAGAATATTTTGGCACATTATTTTCCACAGAAGAACACAATATTTTCTACAATATACTGTACAATATTCACAGTATTCTAGCATAATATTTTCCACAGAATACTGACAAGCCAGAAGAGTGTACTGTCTGCTATGAAAATTATGAAGAAGCAACGAGGCGGCCGCGGACGTTACCGTGTGGCCACACATTCTGCTCGGACTGTATTGAAAATGCTATCGAGAATGATCGTCTTCCCTGCCCCAATTGCCGTGCCCCACATAGAGCATTAAGTGCTTTACAGTTTCCTATCAGCTACTGTGTGGAGGCCTTGATTAGGAAACTCAAAGATACCCAGCGTATGTCGGCAGGAAGCACGTCGACAAAACGCCGTGTAGACTGCTCTAGAAGTACCAGCAAAAAGTTACGATCCCTTGCGCAGGAGCAGAAAAAGTGTATGATGAGCCTGGTCACTGACTGTGATGAGGTATTGACGCAGCTGAGTGAGTACCAGGGGCAATTGAGTGACTGGACAACTCACCATCACCAGCTTCATGACAGACTCTGTGATCTGGTGGAGCAGAACAAGGGAGCCATCAAGCTGCTGGAGCAGGAGAACACTAGTGTGGTGGATATGGTCAAAGAAGGAGTGGAAGGCAAGAGCCAGTTGCAAGTGCTCTTGGGGAACATGGATGAAAGTGACACAGGGGAGTCCATCGCATCCATGGAGAGGGCTAATCAGTGCAATGTGGAGGTAATAGAAGATTGGCTTCAGAAGTGCCATGATAAATTCCCGAATGTCAATACTGTCCGCACACTAGTGAAGGTAAGCTACTCTGTCTTGTTTCTGACACTCTGCATGGTCTCAATAAATATATTTTGCTATGACAAATACTGAATATGGAAAAACACAACAGCAAAATTTGAGTCATTAGTAAAGGGGTATAACTTAACATCATATAACATGTATGTAACATATATAACACCGTGATGAAAGAAACTTTGCTCGTTTGTTTCCGCCTCCACCGGGGATCGAACCCGGAGCCTCAGGACTATGAATCCGAAGCGCTGTCCATTCAGCTGTCAGGCCCCTTTCAGGGAGGGAGGCAGGGAGAGGCAGGGAGGCAGGCAGGGGGAGGCAGGGAGAGGCAGGAAGGCAGGGGGAGGTAGGGAGAGGCAGGAAGGCAGGGGGAGGCAGGCAGGGAGGCAGGCAGGCAGGCAGGGAGGGATGTTGAGGGAACTACATGACCTTGAAGCAGAGAGAGTGTGTATGGGATGTAGAGGTGGGGGAGGGACGGACTCACTCCGATAAGCCTATCACACTCGATCCCATTAGCCATATTTGTTTCTTAACCACCGTGCTATCTTGAGATTATCTTGAGATGATTTCGGGGTTTTAGTGTCCCTGCGGCCCGGTCCTCGACCAGGCCTCCACCCCCAGGAAGCAGCCCGTGACAGCTGACTAACACCCAGGTACCTATTTTACTGCTAGGTAACAGGGGCATAGGGTGAAAGAAACTCTGCCCATTGTTTCTCGCCGGCGCCTGGGATCGAACCCAGGACCACAGGATCACAAGTCCAGTGTGCTGTCCACTCGGCCGACCGGCTTCCGAGTTTATTGTGAAATTCCCCCTGTGCGCATGAAATAAAGTGTTCCCAAATTTTTTTTTTGTAAATGATAAATTCCCTTCCCTGAACATGTCTATGTAAAAATAAATTCCAAATTCCACTTACTTTGGCTATGGGAATGTGGACAAGGTGCACTGTGACGTCATCAGGGCCTGGTCGACCGTTCATGAATCGCCCAGACACGGTCGCACGGGCCATTCAAGCACTGGGTGTTGCCACATATATATTTTCAATTATTTGTTATATGTACTGTACTCTTCAAATCACTTGTGCTGTCTCATCTTGAGTACTGCTCAATACTCGCTTCCCTCTTCAGAGCAGGAGAGATTGCTGAAATAGAGGAAATAGAGAGCGCATATACAGCATACATGGACATGATAAAGCACTTAAACTGTTGGGATCGTCTCAAAGCTCAAGAGATAACTGGATAGTTTTCTTCAAGAAGTGCTGGACCAACCAGGCTGTGGTGGATATGTGGGCCTGCATGCCACTCCAAGCAACAGCCTATTAGACCAAGCTCTCATAATTCAAGCCTGGCTCCGGGCTGGGGTTGGGAAGTAGAACTCCCAGAATCCTATCCCAGGTAAAATTCAGTAGGCGCAGAGACCATCATTGGCGGGTTAGTTACCTCTATCCATGAGAGAGACTCCACCATTAATGTTTGTGTTTTAATTACAGGTACAAGAGTCCATTAGGGAGGCCCCGATTGTGACAAAGGCAGGTGCCTCGGCCACTACGATCCCAGTGGGAGGAGACCCGGCCTCCACCATCATGGAAAGAGTTCGGAATATTTCTAAAGGAATCTTCTTGGTAACTGTACGTTTAATTATTTTAAATTTCTCTTTGCTGTAATGTGAATCAGTTTACTTTTACTACTGTATTGCGCACACCATGATATGGAGAAAGGGGGTGCACACGCCAGCATATCAGGTTTGTTAGTATATTATAAAATTCAAAACACCCGCAGGTTCATGGACTCACATCCAGTTCCTCAGGACTCCAGTAAAAAGATGCCATCCTGAAAAAAAAACAGCGTTGAATATAATGAAATGCCATTTTCTGGATGAGACCTGGAGGCTACCCGAAGCTTTTTGGGCTGATATGAATGTATTAGACCCCTGGCATCAGTCAAGGGCATGGAGTTCTTATGCTTACCAGGGACCATGAGCCCAGAACCATGCCCCCCTCAGAGAGGCACAAGAAGCAATGGCCTATAGAAACCCTCCCATGTGGTTGGGAGCATTCTATGTCTGCCATCGACCAGGTCATGTACCCAGAAAGGTAGGCACCCCAAAACAACCCTATCTAGTGAAAAAATGCGACTGAAAGCCGAAATGTTGAAGAGAACTCTCTAAACTACAAAATGAGCAAACGAGCATGACGTCACAACCGTCAGCGTGCCGCTGTCTGGGCAGCTCCCCCTCCCTGGGAGGAGGGAGGAGCAGCCCCAGGATTCCCTGCACTAGCTATCCACCCCCAGTTCAGTGGCTGGATGTCAAAAACTGCGAACAAAACGCCGACTGGAGGGAGGAAGGGTTGCAGGGGCGCCTCCAGGTCTCATCCAGAAAATGGCATTTCATTACATTCAACGCTGGTTTTCTGGGAGTAGCCCTTTTTCGGTTCTCCAGAGTTACTTAACCAAAAATAAAAAGAGCGACTTACCCGGAGGTGGTCGCCACTCGCTCCTCAACAACGATTGTGGTGATAATTAGCACTGTAGTGGGAGAAGTAATCTTGGTGGGGAGGAGGTAGCGTTGTCTGCTGACTTTGTATGGCCACCTTTTACTCTCTGGACGTACTATACCAGCTTAGTTGTTCTCTATGGTGAACACAAATGTAGATACTTATATATAATGTGTGTATATAGTGTAATAACAGCAAAAGGAATATGGTGGGAGAAGCTATTTTGGCGAGGGAGGTGGCATTGTCTGCATGACTTGTCATGCAGTGTATGGTGGCCACTATGTTGTTTAGGCACCATATCAGCTTAGTTGTACAGTTATGGTGAATAAAGCATGTAGATACTAAAATATATTGTGTGCATATAGTGTAATAACACCACAAATAGTATGGTTGGAGGAGGACTGTTAGTGTTTGGCCTTGAACGAGGGAGAGGAGGGAGCGTTAGCTGACTCTTTGTGGTGACTAATGTTATTGCCTGAACTCACCATACCAGCTTAGATGGACAGTTATGATGAACAAAACATGTAGATACTTATATATAATGTCTGTATATAGTGAATAAAAGCAAAAACAGTATGGTGGGAGGAGTATGTTGGCGAGTGAGGAGGTGAGAGAGGGAGTGGCAGCCAGTGGCTGGCTGGCTGGTGTGTGGCTGCCACTCTTTGTTGCTTTTTGACTCACAATACCAACTTAGTGGTTCTTTATGGTGACCAAAACATGCAGATACAGTGGCACCTCGACTTACGATTGCCCCTACTTACGATAATTTCGAGTTACGATGTAAATTTCATCAAAAATGTGACTCGGCATCCGATGGTGTTGTCGACTTAAGATATTTGTTGGTACACGTTCGGGTCAACCGAGCGCGTGGTTCCCGGTCACGCGGCCGACCTGCCTCAGTTTACTACAGCTGCCAGCTGAGTGACGATTGCGCCTATAAGAAATTTCGCTTTTGTGGTGATTTTTTGCATTTTGAACATTAAAGTAATTATTATATATCATGCCATGAGTCCCAGGAAAGTCAGTGGTAAGGCTCAACATATGAGATCCCATGTAAGGATGACCACAGAGCAGAAACAAGAGATCATTCGTAAATATGAAGATGGTGTGCGGGTTGTTGGACTGGCTAGGCAGTACAACAAATCTCAGTCAATGATATCCTCCATACTGGCTAAGAAAAAGGACATTACGGGTGCTAAAGTGATGCATCATTACAGACAAATGTTAAAACGAAGGGAAAAACAAATGTCTCTTGACAAATTTGTAGTGAGACAAACAAGCACTGAACCACAACCAGGTCCTAGTGGTATTCAGGCAAAACGTAGGAGAGAGAGAGAGTACCCCAGAGAAAACATCACTGCCTGATGTGATAATGGAAGGGGATTCCCTTTCCAAACAGTAACAACTCTCCTCCTTCCCCTTCATCACCATCTTCCATATGCCATCAAGAGCCCTCCATAAAGGTAAGATCAACTTAGGTACTGTATTGTAGTTAGAAAAAAAAAAACATTGTATTCAGTATAAAATGTATTTGTATGTTAATATTTTGGAGGGTGGGGGAACGGATTAATTTAAATCCCTTTATTTCTTATGGGAAAAATCGCTTCAACTTACGATATTTCGACTTATGATCCGTCTCGGGGAACGGATTAGCATCGTAAGTCGAGGCTCCATTGTACTTATAACCTGTGTATATAGTGTAATAACAGCAAAACTATTTATTTATTGTTTTATGAACATAATAATTGAATCACTAATATGCACACAATAATTTTGAGTATTACGATGGTTCACACATTTTATTATATAAATATATCACGCTACACACTATTGAATAATATTACTGCAAAAAAATAAGAAAAAATAAATCAGAGACATTGAAATAATTAGGTAATAATATCTTTGTGGCAACTCCCACCTGACAGCTGGACCATTTTGGCTGGTGTTTGGTTCATATGGTTCACTTGTGTGATCCAACTTCTTATGAAGGAATTATTAATTGTAATCTGTGATAGAATGAGAAAGTTTTCCACCACTCTGTGAACTCTGTCCCAAAATCGTAAGCTTGTGGACCACTTGTGGTCCACATGTGTGGTCCATTTGTGTGGTCCACTTGTGTGATCCACTTGTGTGATCCAACTTGTCATATGAAAGAATTATTAATTGTAATATGTTATAGAATGGGAAAGTTTTCCACCAGTCTGTGAACTCTGTCTGGACATCGTAAGCAAATCCGAACATCCCTCGCTTCGGCAAACCATTGTTCGTCGAACCGGGTGAGTAAATTCGGCCTGAAAAGTGTGCGAACTAGCCGGAGATTCGTTGAATCGGGGTACGTTGAATCGAGGTTGTACTGTCGTAGGTCTTTTCTATGTTAAGTGTTAGTTTGTTGGTTGACATCCATAAGTGGACTTTTTTTAGTTCATTATTAACATCATCATTTAGTGTATGTGGGTTGGGGTTGGAGTAGATGAGGGTAGTATCATCAGCAAACAAAATAGGTTTCAGAATGTTAGAGACATTAGGCAGATCATTGATGTATATAAGAAATAGAAGAGGTCCCAAGATGCTGCCCTGTGGCACTCCAACGGTTATTGGTAGAATGAGAGAAATTATATTATTGATGGTTACACATTGGTGTCTATCACTAAGATAGGATTGGATATAGTCCAGTGCATGGCCTCGGATTCCATAATGATGGAGTTTACATAAGAGGTAATCGTGATTAACAGTATCAAAGGCCTTTCTCAGGTCAATGAAGAGTCCAATTGGAAACTCATTTTTGTCAAGGGCTGAGTAAATTATATCAAGGAGACTAATAATTGCATCGTTGGTACTCTTTTGAGAGCGGAAGCCAAACTGACAGGGGCTAAGAATGTCAAATTTTACGAGATAGGAGTAGAGCTGTTTGTAGATAATTTTTTCAAATATTTTTGATAGTATGGGTAGGTTCGATATTGGTCTATAGTTGTTTATGTCTGCCGGATTACCTCCTTTATATATATATAAAATATAAAAAACATATATATAAAATACACATCAGAGGATGTGCAGTGACTTCATATCTAACATATTCAGAGATTTAAGTAAGGGGTACCGAGTGATGTCTGGGGCCTGAGTTAGATATCGTTCTAATAGCAGCTTTGTGTTGAGTAATTAGAGGACAGAAATGATTTTGAGTAGCAGAACCCCAAGCACAAATACCATAGGTAAGATAAGGATAGATGAGAGAGTAATAGAGCGTCACCAGGGCGAGGTACATAATATTTGATCTTAGAATGCCAACAGTTTTTAATACTTTTTGATGCACGCAGCACAAGCTCACAGCACCGCTGTTCATATTGTGGCCACAGCATAGCCTACAAATGCCATAATATATATGATACTGCTATTATTTAGCGGTGATAGTATTACTGAAGCCCCCTGACTGTGATAAAACTGACCAGGATTCTGATAATAGCAGGATTGTGGTGATATTTGGCGCTGTGCTCCATGGAGGGAGGAGTAAGGCTGTGGAGGGAGGGTTGTGGCGTCGTCTTCTGACTGTGTGTGGCCACCATATATTGACTGCACTCACCATACCAGCTTAGTGGTTCGCTATTGTGAACACAAATGTAGATACTTGTATATAACGTGTGTATAGTGTGAGATAACAGCGAGAGTAGGAGGTTGGGAGCCGCCATTTTGGTGAGGGAGGAGCGTCGTCTGCACGACTTGGTATGTTGTTTACTGGTGGCCACTATGGTCTTTGGGCACCATACCAGCTTATTTGTACAGGTATGGTAAATAAAACAGGTAGATACTTACATATAATGTGTGTATATAGCGTAATAACACCACAAACAATATTGTTGAAGGACAAATATTAGTGTGTCTGGCCTTGAGGGCGGCCGCCAATCAGCTGACTGTGTGAGTAGCTACGTCTTTGTGCCTTTACTCACCATACAAGCTTAGATGTACAGTTATGGTGAACAAAACATGTAAATACGTATATATACGTCTGTGTATAGTGAATAAATGCAAAAACAGTATTGTGGGAGGAGATTGAGGGCAAGTGAGGTGGTGTTGAGGGAGGGAGTGGCTCGAAGGTATGTGGCGGTCACTCCTCGTTGCTTTTTGACTCACAAGACCAACTTAGTAGTTCGTTATAGTGAACAAAACATGCAGATACTTATATATAACCTGTGTATATAGTGTAACAACAGCAAAACTATTTGTTTATTGTTTTATGAACATAATAATTGAATCACTAATATGCACACAATAATTTTGAGTACAGCGATGGTTCACACATTTTATTATATAAATATACCACAATTCACTATATGGAATAATATTACTGCAAAAAACTAAGAAAAAATCAATCAGAGACATTAAAATAATTAGGTAATAATATATTTGTGGCAACTGCTGTCTGACAGCTCGGGCGGAGTAGACCTCGTGTGGCGAAGGCTCTGCCAATGCCCCTTTTTTGCCACACTTCCCTACCCTATTGCGGCTAAAATATGCCACCTACGATTTTTTTGTTATTTTTTCCGTGATCCGGGAACAAAAATGAACACTTCTATAAGACGAAAAAAAATTTGGATTTTTTTTTTTTGTTGCTCCTGTGGGTGTGAATTCCATTTGGGCCCCTAGCTGTTAAAGGGTTAATTTTGGCTCTTCTAATTATTTTAGATAGCAATGATGAGTAATTCTTTGAAAATTCTTTGGAGATGATTCCTAACTTATACTTCTTCACAAGGTCATGTTTTTTATTAATGGATTTAAGTATCCCCTTTGTAATCCAGGGCTTGTTTAGCCTTTTAGTTGTGACTTGTTTCGTTAGCAAAGGACAGTGGGTGTTATAAAGGCTGAGAGTTTTTGAAGAAATGATTGCACTGCTAGATTGATGTCCCCTATGTTACCTAATTCGGACTCCCAGTTGATATGACCTCATGATAATCGGTGTGATACTGTTGACAGGTTGAGCACCTGCGGAGGATGAGTGATCCCGTCAAGACATTGGTGGAGACTGGCCAGGTGTTTGCTGTCCAATCACACCAGGATGAACTGAGTTCTTCCAGAATAAGTTCACAGGATGGACAGCTGTACCTGCACACACTGCTGTGCCAGCCCCCACCTGCCCTCGCCTGCACCCTCCAGGTTCTTCTACTTTACCAGTCCTACAATAATTACTGACATGTTGTTTTGCTCTACATATGTTGAAGAAATTAAATACTAATTTTAATTACCAAAACTAAAATTGGAATTTTACATTGTGATTTTTGTTTGTGCAGTACAAGGATGTTGTGGGTATGTTGGACTCCTCCTCAACCCTTGCTTTCCTCGACCTGGAGTGGCCCGGATCAACACGAAGGAGGGTCCACATCCGGCTCAACTGCAACACTGGATTGGCCAAACAGTTTGTGTTGTTGTGCACAGGTCAGCGAGGCAGCACATATGCCAATACGATACTCACAGAGGTATTGGACAAGGGTAATTCAGGGGAACGAGTGGAAGGAGGCGACTACGAGTGCAACGACGGCGAGGGCGGAGCCCCGCTGCTGTCTGACCTGCAGGGAGAGTACTGGGAGTCAGGCAGTGCGGGGACAGTATGGTCACCATGGTTGTTGGGTAGTCCCCAGAGTGCCCAGTTCTGTATCAGCACCAGGGATCGTACGGGGGGCCTGCAGTGGCCGCAGGTCTTTGGTGAGGTGGTGAGTGGCCTGGATGTGATGCGGGCAGCAGCTAACCAAACAGACATCAGGCAGGTGACTGTAGTAGACTGTGGAGTGGTTTTGCCACTCTAATTCACTCTACCACCACAATTGTCACAATCACTCCTGTGTCACCATCACTCCTGTGTCACCATCACTCCTGTGTCACCATCACTCCTGTGTCACCATCACTCATGTTCCACCATCACTCCTGTGTCACCATCACTCCTGTGTCACCATCACTCCTGTGTCACCATCACTCCTGTGTCATTGTCACTCCTGTGTCACCATCACTCCTGTGTCACCATCACTCCTGTGTCACCATCACTCATGTTCCACCATCACTCCTGTGTCACCATCACTTCTGTGTCATTGTCACTCATGTTTCACCATCACTCCTGTGTCACCATCACTCCAGTGTCACCATCACTCCTGTGTCACCATCACTCCTGTATCACCATCACTCCTGTGTCACCATCACTCATGTTCCACCATCACTCCTGTGTCACCATCACTCATGTTCCACCATCACTCATGTTCCACCATCACTCCTGTGTCACCATCACTCCTGTGTCACCATCACTCATGTTCCACCATCACTCCTGTGTCACCATCACTCCTGTGTCACCATCACTCCTGTGTCACCATTACTCATGTTCCACCATCACTCATGTTCCACCATCACTCATGTTCCACCATCACTCCTGTGTCACCATCACTCCTGTGTCACCATCACTCCTGTATCACCATCACTCCTGTATCACCATTACTCATGTTCCACCATCACTCATGTTCCACCATCACTCCTGTATCACCATCACTCCTGTGTCACCATCACTCCTGTATCACCATCACTCCTGTATCACCATCACTCCTGTGTCACCATCACTCATGTTCCACCATCACTCCTGTGTCACCATCACTCATGTTCCACCATCACTCATATTCCACCATCACTCCTGTGTCACCATCACTCATGTTCCACCATCACTCCTGTGTCACCATCACTCATGTTCCACCATCACTCCTGTGTCACCATCACTCATGTTCCACCATCACTCCTGTGTCACCATCACTCATGTTCCACCATCACTCCTGTGTCACCATCACTCATGTTCCACCATCACTCATATTCCACCATCACTCCTGTGTCACCATCACTCATGTTCCACCATCACTCCTGTGTCACCATCACTCATGTTCCACCATCACTCCTGTGTCACCATCACTCATGTTCCACCATCACTCCTGTTCCACCATCACTCATGTGTCACCATCACTCATGTGTTGCCTCAGGATGTATTTTACTTGTATGTACCAGGTACGAGTACAGTGACACGAGGGGTGTATAATGTTACATCAGGACATATTGTCACTCCCTACACTCACCATCATTGTAGCACTAGAGCATATAATGTTACATAAACATACAAAAATGGTTTTTATCAATAATGATATTGATAAAGCTGCTGTCTGTAGAAATGTTGAGTTAAATGATTATTCTAATTTACAGAACTGTTAAATATTCCGGAATGTTTTTACTGTATACTGATACAGTACTTGCAGAAGCCAAGGTGTCATTAAATCATCTGGAAGAACGACATTTTTTAAGTTAGATTATTGATGGCAGACACCATGTGATACACATGCCATGTGGTTCACACTCCATGTGATACACATGCCATGTGGTTCACACTCCATGTGATACACATGCCATGTGGTTCACACTCCATGTGATACACATGCCATGTGGTTCACACTCCATGTGATACACATGCCATGTGGTTCACACTCCATGTGATACACATGCCATGTGGTTCACACTCCATGTGATACACATGCCATGTGGTTCACACTCCATGTGATACACATGCCATGTGGTTCACACTCCATGTGATACACATGCCATGTGGTTCACACTCCATGTGATACACATGCCATGTGGTTCACACTCCATGTGATACACATGCCATGTGGTTCACACTCCATGTGATACACATGCCATGTGGTTCACACTCCATGTGATACACATGCCATGTGGTTCACACTCCATGTGATACACATGCCATGTGGTTCACTAGAATATGCAGCAGTTGTGTGGTGCCCATATCTTAAGAAGCACATCAACAAACTGGAAAAGGTGCAAAGACATGCTACTAAGTGGCTCCCAGAACTGAAGGGCAAGAGCTACGAGGAGAGGTTAGAGGCATTAAACATGCCAAAACTAGAAGACAGAAGAAAAAGAGGTCATATGATCACTACATACAAAATAGTAACAGGAATTGATAAAATCGATAGGGAAGATTTCTTGAGACCTGGAACGTTAAGAACAAGAGGTCATAGATATAAACTAGCTAAACACAGATGCCGAAGAAATATAAGAAAATTCACTTTCGCAAACAGAGTGGTAGACGGTTGGAACAAGTTAGGGGAGAAGGTGGTGGAGGCCAAGACCGTCAGTAGTTTCAAAGCGTTATATGACAAAGAGTGCTGGGAAGACGGGACACCACGAGCGTAGCTCTCATCCTGTAACTACACTTAGGTAATTACACTCCATGTGATACACATGCCATGTGATACGCTATATAATTACCTAAGTGTAGTTACAGGATGAGAGCTACACTTGTGGTGTCCCGTCTACCCAGCACTCTGTCATATAACACTTTGAAATTATTGACGGTTTTGGCCTCCACCACCTTCTCACCTAACTTGTTCCAACCGTCTACCACTCTGTTTGCAAAAGTGAATTTTCTTACATTTCTCTGGCAGCTTTGTTTCGTGAGTTTAAATCTATGACCTCTTGTTCTTGAAGTTCCTGGTCTCATGAGTTCCTCCCTAACAATTTTAACTATTTCTGTTACTATTCTGTTACTATTTTCCAGTTTGTCGATATGTTTCTTAAGATATGGGCACCATACAACTGCTGCATATTCCAGCTATGGTCTAACAAAAGTCGTGAACAATTTGTTTGGTATTTCTCCATCCATGTATTTAAAAGCAATTCTGAAGTTAGAAAGTGATACACACGCCATGTGGTTCACATGCTATGTGGTGCACATGCCATGTGGTATACACATACGGTACACATGGCACAGTACATACCCAATTAGGTGAGTACACACCAACTGGTACTAATGTAACTTTCATCCTATAACTAAGGTAATTATGGTACACTATATGGTACACATCATGTGATACGCATCATACAGTAGGTACACCATGTTGTCATCCCCCCCCCCCCCCCCTTCTCTCGGGCAGACACAGCAGTCATCAGCCTGCATTTACACGACAGCCTCCAATAATGAACATCTGTTTGTGGAAGTTCCTTGTATACAGGGTATTTATGTTCTCTCAAATTTGGTATTTTTTCTGTGCATTATTTTCATATTTATTTATTGAGTAATTATTAGTTGTATAATTAAATAATACTCAGTACAAGTGTTTTACTCTGAAACCTTAGATGGCAGATTATTCTATACAATTTACTTGAGGGAGGTTCCCCCTTATTGGATGTCTGATGTGAGACAGCTACAGGGAGCCACCAAGGAGCTCCTCCAAGAAAACTAGCAGGTGTTTTTGTTCAACTGCGGTGAGGCCGGCTTGAGTCATGGCAACTGACGTTTGTCTTCTGCACTGAAATCCATATAATTATCATAATTTGTCATTCCTGTGGATTTTATTACTCGCTAAAGAATTAAACCTTATTACAGTACAGTACTACATAAAAGTCATTAATTAAAAGAATTTTGGAGCATGTTGAAAGATCATTCTCAAATATATTTTTACAAAATAAGTTTTTTGACATTTATGATTTCTGGGGTAAAGCTCCGTCAGCTTCCTAAAGCTAGCTTACTGATTAAGTGCCATACTACTTGGAGTCATCAGTCACAGAGTTCATGTTGCCTACCGAAGACCACGAGCCAGAACCTGGCCCCCCTCAGAGACGCGTGGGAGCAATGGCTCATGAACACTACATTTAAAGTTTAACATCTTGCCATTGACCAAGGAAGCACCTGAAAAAGTAGGCAAATCAAAACAGACTACTGCATGGCTGAAAAATAAGACCAGCACCCCTCAAAATATCAACAGAACTCCCTTAACAAGAAAACAACCAAAACTTTGTCCAACCAGCCCCTGCTAGTCACCTACACTTTTCCCCTTGTTGTGGGAAGGGGGAGGAGGGAGCATGCTTGGGTGAGCCAGTTCTTGAATGATGTTTGTGCCTGGAGGTTATCGGTGCACTCTGGCCTCAGTTTCCTGTTTTGCTGGTGGTTTGCCTTTTTAGCCTGTTCCTACATGGAGGAACTGCCATGAGTATGTTGATGTGCTCAGTTCAAGGTTGGGTGCAGGCACCTTGTTGTCTGCCGTGGTGGCATTGGCGGCTTTGCCCAAGCTGTGTGTGCCTGTACTCCAGGAAGTGGTGGCCATGTTCTACATCACTCATCTTGCATGTCGGCAGGCTGTGTTGGCCCAGTCGTTAGATTCAGCTTGGTTCTTGGCTCTTTTGTCTGCCTCTCCCTTTTGCCTCTCTTCTTTCTGGAGGTAGTTACTCAGTTTTTGTCTTTGGCAGCAGTTTCATGATCTGAGGGTGAAGGGGGATCCCCAAGATCCCCTTGATCAGGTAGCAGTTTCGTGTTCTTGGGGATCTTGTTCTTGCTTTTGGAGGTGTCCTGGTAGGGCCAGGGTTTTGCCAGCTGCTGGTCAAGGTAGGTCCTCATTGCAGCTAGATTCAGGGTTATATGCGTCTCTCGCTGTTGGTTCGTCTTCTGTTCATCGACAACGCTCTTGTAATTTGCAGAGGGCTCCCCCTCCCTGTCCGGCCTGTTGTTGCCGTGAGGGGGCTTCGTGGGTGGCTGCCGGAGTGTAATGCTCCATGGGATCGTCTTCTGTCCTTTTGTGGCCTTATGCTCCTGCTGCTTTCCAATCGAATTCTGCTGGATGACTTTTCCTTTTCTTATGTTTTGTTTTTCTCCCCCCCCCCTTCTCCTTTCTAATTGTCATTTCCCGCCGACCTTTTGCCTGTTTTGATTATTCTTTAGACATTCTTTGGTTTGGACGCCCAGGTGTTTGAGGAGGCATACTCTTGCACCCGT